CAGCCTCACAGTATCAATACCTTTAAGCAGACCCTCCAACATTGTAGGTAGCATCCTAACTGGTCTACAGACTTTCCTCTCTCTTGTTGATTTCAATGCCTTCTGTTCTCTTAGGCTTCAGTGCATCCTTCTCCAAGAGAGTCACCAGGCCTTGCGACAACAAAGCCCCCCAAGTTTCCATCCTGACATAGCTTCCTCTATAAACAGGCAGTACAGCTTCAGGACCACTTCAGGCTTATTCCCACAGTTAGAGCACATGGCAGGCCCCACACAGGCTATGGACCTTATAGCTAAGTTCAGTTCAGCAGCACCTCCCCAGACCTCAGTATGGGTGAAGAGAGCTATCACAAGGCCTGCCCAAAATATTGATATCCTCTCCTAGCATGCACCAGTGACCTGAATCTCCTACTGGGTTGGTTAGAGGAAGTATAAATATTTATAACTATAGTCTTATTATGAAATCTCATACTATTACCAGTGTTACTAATTACACATACTGGCAGTGATAAACCACAACCCCACTGAGTTTAGGGTAAGACCAAGTGAAACATTTGACTAACATCAGCCAAAAAATACATTTGGGTAGTAGTCCCTGTTCAAGACAGGGTGCTACAATAGTATGGGAGATTTTTCAACTTCAAAAATCATAAGGGCCAATTCTGCTTTTTTTTAGAAGAAAAAAGGTGTTAATAACGCATACATTGTTCTAGTCCATTTTCGTAGTCCTTGGGAACATTTCAATAGAATCATGTCTAAGGGCCAATTCTGCTTTTTTTTAGAAGAAAAAAGTGTGTTAATAAACGCATACATTGTTCTAAGTCCATCAAGAAAACAACAATACATCCTAGCATTATGGAAATTGGTGTGATATTTCCCTGAGCCAACCTTGACTCCAATCAGTGTGATGATATTGGATGTGTTGTAGTCCTTGGGAACTGTCATTTGGCCAGATAGATATGTGAATTGTGCTTTCGAGCAAAAGGAAGAACTGTGTGTTAAGGACATGCACCATGTTTAAACAATATACACAGTATACTGTACAATATACTGTATTAAAAAAACAACTGGATATATATATACTGTATATTATATTTACTCACATACTTAATCAAATCATGTGCCTGTTATGCCTCCACTGAATTGTATCGCTTCCTGAAAGAAGCCAGTGATGGTGGCATACAAGTAATTCTGGCAACACAAATGTCATTGGGAGGAGGTTCCACCCACCTGCACAGTTTTGTGAAAAACTGAAACAGGTCTTTCATTGTAGGACTACAGAGCTTTACTATGTCACTTAGAAGACCACTTAGAAGACTATAGGGGAGAGATGTGGTGATGAAAAAAGCGCTTTTGTAGCTTTGTCAGCCCTTCAGAGGAAGTTCTGAAAAAAACATACTGGCAGAATCAACAGGGTGAATGATTATAGAGAGAAACTGGCAATTTTAAAAGTCTACATTGAGCGTCGTACTATTGACAATGAAAAAAGGACACTACCTGGACATACGGGAAATGCAAAAATGTTCTTTTTTTTTACAATTAATTCTACTTCCTTTGTTTTGATAAAAGGAACAAGAGATAAAACAACAAGGGATAAAACAATAATCCTGCTTTTTTATGTAAAACTCTTGTCACCAGTCCTCAGGAAAGATGTGCTGGAACTGGAGAGACTCCAGAGAAGGGCAACAAAGTTAATAAGGGGACAGGTGGACCTCAGTTACAAGGAACAACTACAAATATTAAACTTATTCTCCCTGGATAAGAGACACTTGAAAGAAAATATGATAGCAATATACAAATACCTCAATGGTGATTCTAGCATAAATGATATAAACTATTCAGTTTCAGAGTATAAGAAGACATGGGGCCACTTATTGAAATTGGAGGAGAAGAGGTGTAACCTTAAACTGCATAGGGGTTTTTTCTCTGTCAGAGCAGTAAGGATGTGGGACTTGTTCTCCACAATTGGTGGGGTCAGTGGGTAGTATTGATAGTTTAAAAAAACTCTTAGACGTGCATCTCAGCAAACACAATATACAGAGATATGGGATATTATTTTTTACAAGAGCACACACACACCCACAAAGGTTGAACTGGAAGGACTGTAGTCTTTATTCAACCTTACCAACTATGTAACTATATGATGTTTGTTTACAGAGGTGACTAACTATAAGCTAACTGTTATGACATCCAGATATGCTGTAAAAGCTTAAAAGTATTGAAAAATACACAAGAGTTGGAGGAAATCCCTGCAAATTAAGAGAATCTATTGTGATGGTCGGGGAAGGAGGAGCCTGAGTATGGCGCTGAACGGGAGATCGTTGTAAGATCTCCCGAACCCAGGATCCTCCAGTGTCCAGCCAACAGTTTTATGAACAAAAAATAGCCAGGAAGGAGGAGGGGGACTTGCCTGCTGCCATATCCCATGGGAGAGCTCCGGCACACTGTTTGACTCCCACGAGCCCTCGGTTTGCTGGGAGGTGTGCGGGAGCATGCTGGAGGAAGCTGGAACCAAAGGGTGGAGAGTCCTGGACAAACCGAGGCATGGAGGATGCTGGGTGGTCACGTGACCAGCCGCAGGGAAGTCCAAGGAGGAGAGAGACACCGGCCGGTACAGGACAGGACATGCAGCCCTGATCTCCCCTCTCTCCCCTGTCTCCCTCACCCCCCCCCCCCAGCTTGATTTCTTCCTTGGACTGCTGTGGGAGCTGGAGTCCAGGAACAATATATGTTGGGAACCCCACCCTGGAAAGCCTGCTGAATTGGAGGGACCCTCTTTTGCAACCCCCTTGCCGGCAAGATTGCCAGAAGCCACTCCCCCCAGAAGTGAAGAAGTGAGAGCTAAATGGGTGAGTGAGAGTGGCAGAAGAGAATGGACTGTAATATATATTAAGTGTCAAATTGAAAAATGAAGTAAATATGGATGGATAAAGGAGCAGGGGTTGCATTTAGGGGTCGTTACTGAGATTAAAGAGGGTCTTGTATTCAAATATAGTTAAATAGATGAAAGAATAATAAAAGAGAGAAGATATAAAAAGAACGCTAGCTCCTGTAGGGGGTCAACGAGGGTGATAGGTGGAAAGAAGAAGGGGAAGATTTAAAGGATGAGTGGATTAATGAACCTGTTACATATTGGATATTGGAAATATATAAAGATGAAGAACAAAGCAACAAAAGGAGGTGGGTCAAAGGCCCCCATATCAAGCTCAATTAAGAAATATATCCTGAGGCAGGATAAACGGACCCCTGAGAGGCAAAGTGGAATAAATGAAAAGAGTGTGATAGACAACAGCAGTTTATGAGAGCCCCAGAATATCCCTGGGAATGTCTAATAGCCAAAATCTAGAAGAAGCAGATATCGAGAAAATAAATGTTCTGGAAAATTTGTAAGATCAAGATTCACATTTGCTGACTAAATCAGAAATATTTAAAGGTTTGGAAACATCTATAAAAAAAGAGATGGTAAAGTTACATAAAGATCTGGGGCAGGTTCTTTCTAGAGTGGAGGAGATGGAAGAAAAAACAAATAAACACGCCCAAGAGATACAGACCTTAGAAAACAAAATGGTGGAAATGAAAAAAGAACAAAGAAATCTGCTATATAAATTGGAAGACCAGGAAAATAGGAATAGAATATGCAACTTAAGAATACGTGGTCTACCAGAGATTTCCCAAGAAGAAGACCTGATGGAAACGACAGAGAAAATGTTAGACACAATAATGGACAGATCTGCAGCAAAACCTTATAAAATTGATGGGGTGCACAGAATTGGATGATTATACCAAGAAGGTGGAAAAGGAAGATCGAGAGATGTCATTGCTCAATTCCATTACTATCGGGATAAAGAGGAGATGTGGAAGAGGATGAAAGGAAGAGCTGTTATAAAATACGGAGAAACAAATATACAGATCTTCACTGATCTTGCTGCAAAGACATTGTTAAGAAAGAAAAATTTTGAAACCATTAGTAGAACAAATGAAGAAGCAGAACATTCAATATAGCTAGCGGTTCCCAGCATGTTTAATCGGGTGGAAAAATGGACGATCTGCAAGATTAAAGTTTCCTGAAGAACTGAGAGACTTTTGTGAGAGACTTGAGTTGCAGAATATAGACATTCCTGAGGTGGGGAGTGGAGGAGGAGGAGAGGTGGAATGGGGAGAATGAGCGGTGGCAGGTAGCTTAAGAGGGAGGTAGAGGGTGAGGAGGGGAGGGAGGTGGTGGTGGGGGGGGGGAGGAGAGGAGGGGGGGGGGGGAAGTGGTGGTGGGGTTATGCTTTTTTTTCCCCCCTCTTTTCCTCCCTGTCCCCCCTCCCTCACCTCTCCTCCTCCCTACCCCCCTTTGAGGGTTCATTCCTTCCCCTCTTTTCTTTCTCTCTTCTATGTCCTCCTTTCTTATTTTCTTTTTTTTTTTTTGCAGGTCGCCCTGGCAGGACGTTGGGGGAGGGTAAATGGGATGAGGTGTGCATGTTCAGAGCTCCACCCTGAAGTGGAATCAAGAGTGGGATTAGGACCACAAATGATTCATAGGCAAAATATTGGCCTAAAAAGGGAGGGGATGGAATGGGAGGATAGGAAGTGGAGATGGGGGGGTGGGGGGAGGAAGAAGGATATGGGAGGGTAGTTGGCAGCCTTAGATTATACGGTATAGTAGGAGGTACACTAGTCTGGAGAAACTCTAGAGAATGAAGGGGAAGATATGGTGAAGAGAGGGAGAGAGAGGAGAAGGGCGAAGAAGGATGAGAGGAGGTGAGAAAAAGAGAAGAACGGAAGATATTCACTTTCAGACTTATAATTAGAGATGAGCGAAGTATTCAAAAATTCGATTCGACTGATTCGGCGAATTCGTGGAAAAATTTCGATTCGAGTCGAATAATTCGCTGTGAATTTAACTTAAAAAAGGGTGTTTCTAGGCTTCAGAGAGACTTAATATTAGTGCAGAACACTGTAACTTTAATTTAAATGCCTTGGGAGTCTTGCTGGGGAAGAGAAATAACACTGTCAGTCAGTATGACATGCAGATGAGTGCCGTCGATCTTAGAATCACCGCACACTTCACTCATTTGGGCAGTCAAACGGGGCCAAAACCAGAGTGTGGACCACAGTGTGGCGGTGGAGGCAGCAGCCAATGGGAGGCCAATACAGCACCCTATGACAAAAATGGAAACCACCAGCAGTGTGAGGAGACCTGAAAGTGGCACATGGCAGAGTGTGGCGATAGAGACAGCAGCAATGGAGGCCGTACAGGGACCCATGACACACTCTGGACCTGGCAGCAGCATGAGGAGTCAGTACAGGGGCCCATGACAGATTACGGGCCTGGCAGCAGCATGAGGAGTTGGTAACGGGGGCCCATGGCAGATTACGGGCCTGGCAGCAGCAAATGGGAGGCCGTACAGGGACCCATGACACACTCTGGACCTGGCAGCAGCATGAGGAGGTGGTACAGGGCGCCGCATGACAGATTACGAGCCTGGCAGCAGCAACTTTGGACAGGAGGACTTTCAGCTTCTGCACCGTCGGGTGCGTGCTCGTCAAACTGTTGTACCTCTTGGAAACGGAATCCCAAGAAAGACTGCTGACGGAATCCGTTGAAGAGGATTAGCAGAGAAAAGGGGCCTGAACAGCGGGAAAATGCCAACAAGCGACAAAAGGGGCCCTGACGATTAAGGGCCTGGGAGCAGCATGAGGGGGTCGGGACGGGGGGCCCCTGCAGATTAGGGCCTGGCAGCACTATGGAGGCCCGTAATCTCCAGCACCCTATGACAAAAAAAGGGAA